GGAACCCTGACATTATTCTCTTTTTGTTTCCAAGGATCCAGACATTACACCTATAAGCATGTAATAGAAGCCAGATTTTTTCCTTTTAAGATTAATTGTTTAAGGATAGAGCTATTATATCTGGTTTGCAAAAATCTAGATTACCATTACATAACAGGGAAGTTAAAACTAAAAACTTGAACTTCTTGCATCCAGTGGTATCTGGATAATACAGTGGTATCTCTTGTATTGCCATCCATATTGGAGGTGTTAGATGCAGAAAGGCTTATGCACCCCATTCTATATTAATCCTTCCTTAAGCAATTAATCTTAAAAGGAAAAAAGCTGGCTTCTATTACATGCTTATAGGTGTAATGTCTGGATCCTTGGAAACAAAAAGAGAATAATGTCAGGGTTCCAAATAACAAATATCCCCAAATGAAAGAAAACTCCGAGGCGTAAAGTTCCTCAAAGTCCCATTGCAGTAGCCACCATATTTTCCCTTCTGTTTAGCCTTGAATAGTTAAGCTTTGATTTAGTGATCATATGATCTAAAAAGTAGTGCAGTTTTACAATACTATGGAGACATGACTCCAGAATCATTTGCGGTTGGACAGCCTTCAATTCTAGAAATAAAATAAATGTGCTTGATTCATAAGGCTAGATAATGCATGCATGTTCAACACTCATTGATTGTGCTGATTATTTGTACTAAATGTTGAGTCATCAAAAATGAATCACTTCAAGCTGCATATTAGTTGGCAATCAGTTGGGATTATTTCTTCTGTACCAGTTTCCTGCTGAGTTAGCAACCTCCCTACTTAAGCTCCTCTGCTCAGTCTGAGATTGGCAGTGGAGCTCCCCAGGCTTTTGATCCTGGGGTTCTTCAATTTGCTTTCCTTGGAAGTTCGAGTCTGAAGTGGTTGAAAGTTCATGGTCATCATTCAGGACTTGACATGGGACACTGGTCATACCAGTGACGTGCGGTGAGGTTTATGTCTGGTGAGGCAAAAAGAAAGAAAGCGTATTTTGCCCGCTGTCAAGAAAGAGGCTTTTGGCCGCTCCAGCGCAATGTCCAAAAGCGTGCCTGCCCTGCTGCTATGTCCAAAAGCCTGCCTGCTGCTATGTCCGACTCCTACATAAAAAAAAGTGCCAGCCCGCGGGCCAGCAGAGGCGGGTAAACCACACACACACACACACAAATTACTTACAATAATACAAAAATTACATTAATTTTGAATACTTCCCCCTCCCTCCGACCCACATACCTTTTCCTGCTGTTTCACAGAGGATTTCAACTCTGCTCTTGTCTGCCATNAACTGTTCAGAATTAAAATTCAGTCTATTTTGTCATTAAACAAAATATTTGAAAAAAAGCAACAGAAGCAAACAATTTAAACTACTTCCGAGTTTAACTTAATGTAAATGTCAATCCTGAGTCTTGAGTTCATATCTAGGACAAGTTTGATAGTTTAATTTATGCAGGTATTTTTTAACCTATTCTAGAGCATCTGTTACCAAACAACTTGGAAATGGAGCAGCATGGACACCTCCAAGTTTTTGGGTGGCAAGTGTAAAAGGAGTTCCAGGGAGCCACACCTTAGCCGAATAGCATTGAGCAGGGTATATATAGCTTGCAAGTTATGGATTGCTTAGCCATGATGTATATGTACACAGATTTTTCATACATTGACAGAATAATTAAGTAGCTCTTTGTGGTACGGACAGGTTACTCCCTTTTTTATAAATAATATATTTATTAAATTTCAACATTAAAATAAAAACCAATAAATAAGGAAAGGGGAAAAGGAATTGTGGCAAAAAACACATCTAACAAATTTATAACAAAAATGACCTCCAACTTTCTTTTAGTACATAGATAATAACCCACTTCCGTTAAAGCACCAATACAAAATTTGCTAAGATAATGTACACAAAGCAGATATGGATGTTCAAAGGATTGTACAGCATAAGAATGAATGAAGGTTTGCAGGCTACAAATGGTAGAAATATATTACATGACTCAGAAATCAGTTTGAGTAAAACCCAGTAAATTTCAACATTTTATATATAAGTCTATAAAGAGGGTGGGAGGGAGGGAACATTATGCTTCCAAAAGTGCCTCAAAAAAGAGCCAAAATAAGCAGTCTCTTGTTCATAAGCAGTCTAGGTTCATATTTAAACACTATCACATTCTATAATGAACAGTGAGCCATTTGTAAATATTTACACGTTTCAATCCAGCATAATTTGTTTTTTTTTTTTAAGTAAACAAATGTGCTGTGAAATAGATAAGTCCAAATCAGGTTTCAAGATGATGTTTGGAAAAACATTAATAACAAATGTGGTCCCCATGGCTACTGGTCTCTTCTGTCATCTGCCCTCCTCCTTTGCTTTCCTCTCCTCTCAGACTCCAGAGCTGGCTTTATTGCTCAGCTTCTCCTCCGTGGGGCATTTCAATTTTCAGTAGAATGTCTTAATCGATTAATTTGTGGAGAACTGAGAAAACTTCACCTCTGGCAGCTTGCAAAGTCCTCATTACCACTGATCTCTCTTAGCCCCCAATTATACCATTTTTGATATTTATTATGAAAAGAAAGAAAAAAAGAAAAGATCCAGCAAACCAGTGGAGACATTCCATCTGAACTTCCTGGGAGATAAGTTATGAGTGTTTTGCTTTTCTCTGTGTCTTGATCTACATTCAATCCTGTGATATTTCTTTCCCCCTGGCAAGCTTCATGGAACTGCTCCTGACATGTAAGTTACAGGTGAAAGAGGGAGATGGAAAGTTTTTTAATGACTGAAATATTAATTATTGTTTCTAGGTTGCTAGATATGCTTTGTAAAACATACACATTCTGAAATGATTACAATTTAACTATTGCATTGCTTCATTTGGAAATTATTCTTTTGGGAAATGGTATTATTAATTTTTAGCTGTTTGAATGAAAACTATATGCTATATTTTTTACCTTGCACAATAGTACAATATAATATATTGTCTGGGTTAGATATACCCAATATTGTTCTATATAGAGATGGGAATTGTATTAATACCTAACTTACCAGCAAGTTGTTCTATATTCTTCATCGGTTTAACACTAGGTGAAGAAAACTATAATTGATGCCACTCTCCGTATTCTAAGAAAGGAATAAAGATATTGATTCTTCTAATTAATTTTGGAAAATGTATTTCAAAAGTATGGCAGTGTTTGTTCATATCAAAATTCATAAGTATTAGAAAAACAGGACTAAGAGGAAGGAGTTGGTGTCCCTCATATTTGATGCAAGAAGTTATAACCGTGTTTCTCTCTTTCTTATGTTCTTTAATGCCTTAACTTCTCTTTTTTTGATCTTCAGCTGCTACTGAATAAGATGGCTCTAAGATGTCATACATATATGATAACTAATTATAGTGGAAGCTCAGAATCTCAGCATTACTTCTGAAGTAAGTAATTTCAAGGCTGTAATTGATGATGACAACTCCTAGGCACATTTATATGTAAAATCAGACAACCATTATCTTTTTCAAAGTTTATTACAAATAATAAGTTGAGAAACATATACATACAGACAACACAAAGAGAGATTATATACATACATACACACACATATACAGTATATATATATATATACTGTATATATATATACTGTGGAAGTATATATGGAATGGAAGTATATATGGAA